GTACTACTGCTGCTGCTGCAGCTTTTTTCTTTTTCTTTGCTGCTGGCTTGAAATGGGCTATCCATCATTTCTTGTGGGTGTTCCACAGTCTTCTTCTCTTTCCTCTGATTCTGGATGCGTGTTTTTTTAGCACCGCCGTTGTGGGGCCGTTGCTTTGCCAACATGCATACGGGGGGTGGTGCTCCTTCCCATAGATGTGCCGTGAAAAAATATTAACATATTTTCAAATGCGCCGTGTGCTTCTCTGTGTGCGTGTAATGTGGGGCTTAGGCCTCACTCAGGCAGGGGCAATGACACCTTTGCACCATTGCGAGGCGGCCGTCGAGGCGGTGCAATAGCACAACGAACTGTGCGTTCCATAACATACGGAGTATTCGCTACTGTGGGAATCGAACACTTGTTTTTTGGTGAAACTACCAGGGCTTATCCACTGGGTGCGGTGCGTTGATTCGGCAAAGGGAACAGAAGGACGTCCTCTATGAGGTGTGCCTGTGGAGGGAGAACTGAACTGCTACCTTGGTGACTATAAAATATTGGTATTTATCTGAAACGAGAGGGCGCATCGCTGTGCATGACGAGACTTTATTCATACGGACGTGATGCGGCGGGTGAAGGAGGCCAACGGGCATGAGCAATACGAGAGCGATGCCATTGTTGCCTGTTGAGATGATTTGGGCAGTGACGATGATAATGATGGGGGCGAACGCTCTCAGGTAGAAACGCTCTTCTCGCTGTCAAGGTATCAAAGTTGCACGGTAATGTGCCGCAGGTTGGCTGGGCCTCTTTTTGTGAGTTTTTCCAACACGTCGGTGGAGCTGCTCGGCGTTCTCCAAAAGGGTGTTCTGTTCTGCACAAATTTGGCTGCCCGAGGATTGTATCCGCCACGGGCGGACTGAAGTGTGCACGACGATCCTCCGGCAGATCCAGCGTGTTGTATTCACCGCACTGGACGGTCAATCCCGCATTGGCAACGTTGGGGACTCTCTGCTGTTCCTTATGCCACACGAGGCAGGATGCATCCCATGCGTGAGGACCCTTTATCGCCAAAGAGAGAGGGATCAGTGGCTCCTTACGGGAAATGAGGCGGCAACAGCAGCAAATGGAAGAACGATAATACGACTCGTCTCTTTCCACCACCTGACGACTTTGGACCCAAAAGGCGGACCACATGTGAATGCAACGCACAGCCACTTACGTGTGCACTGTTATTCAACCTGTCGTGAAGCGGGATGGAACCGTCAACGAGTCACCTGGTGGAGATGCGAGCTGGAACGATGACCTCGCCCGACTCGCACCGTGTGTGTTCCCATCGTACATGCGGGCACACGCAGGGTACTCCAGAGAGCCTATAAACCGTTTTTTAAATTTGTGTATGCTCACATTGGTCACGTCGCACACGGTTTCCTTCTTGGCAAGAGACCCGGTGATGTTTGGGCACAACTGCAGAGCTTTATTGGGGAGGACGCGAAGACCGCGAGAGAGGCGTCTTCTCTCGACACACAGGAGGGCGGAAGAGGGTGCGAGGGCTTTCGAGGTTGGATGCGACTGCAGTTGGAGGTGCGTCACGATGATTGGCCGCGAGGTGTGATTGTGCGGAAGCAGCGCCGTGTGACGTGTAGTACTGCTGGGCGGGGAATTGAACGGAGACTGGCACGGAGTGAAGAGAGAAGTGACACACCCGAGAAGCAAGAGGCCAATGTTGCAGTGACGTTGGTGAAATGTTTTCCATGGGATGAGCCGAGATTTTTTTCCCATGGCGCTTAGCTGCGCCCGCGCCAGCCCGTGTTTTTTTATCTTTTTGACTCCACAGAGTGTCCAGGCTCTTGATTTTCGCTTGCTTGGCACTCTTCCACCATGGGAGTCAACGAGCCACGGCGACCTATCGGGATGCCAAACCCACGGGAATCGTGGGCTTCAGCGTGGTCAATCTGGATCAGTGAGCGGAGACCTGCGGCACCTCATTCTGCGGCGATTATCTCACGCACTGTCACGGGTATCAGCGCCTGTGTGTGTCTGCCCTATGACCGGCATTTGTATGGCGCACGCACTTGGCAAGGCTGAGGGAAATGGCGGGATTTCCCACGGGCACGTGTCTGCAGTCAGAATGCGTAAATTGTGGACTTGTTTGTGCGGCAAGGCAGCAAGGTCGCTCAGGGGATGCAGCATAGACTGGGAGTACACTTTCTAGCGGCGCGTGCTTGGTGACTACCGAGGCGATGCCCCCAAAGGGACGTATGTGGGTGATGCAGATGCACTGGATATGCGCAATGCCATGCTTCGTGACAGGGAGCGAGGGAGGAGTAGCGTGATTCCTCCTGCCACGGACCCATCAACTTTTGAGGAGTTGGAGCGAAGCGAAGGGGACAAGCGTGTGTGTCTTCACTTTCTTGCGGGAGGACGCGCAGAGGTTGGATTTTTTTGTTGCTTTATTGTCACGATGCCTGCGGCGACGTTAATGGGGGGTTTGTTCTCCAGAGGCATTCATTGTGCGATTTGTGCGTGTTTGGTGTCCAACGTTTTCAGCACCGCCAAATGGGGTGTTGCGCAGGATCGGAATACATGGATGTGCGAGAGCATTGTGTCGCTCGCCCGTAATAACACACACGCGCACACACACACACACGCACAGTTTCAGTGAGTCTGACACGCCGCGTTCTTCAGAACGTCCAAAATCACTTGTGGGACATCACTTCATTTGCGGCGTCGGGACGGCGAGGGAAAGGGAAAGGTATGCCGAGAACGCAATGCCCCTCCATGATGCCGCAGGCTGGCGGCGACAAGGATCAGAGAGCTTCTACCCAACGTTGAGAAGACGGCAGCGCTCTGATGATCCGGTTTGCCGCTTTAGGAATCTCTAATTTAGTGCACACCGTGTGGGCCTTTTTGCTGCGGATACGCAGAAGGGTGATGTGGGGTGGGATTATTGTTGAAGGCAGCACGGACGCCGCCTGGCCTTTATGGGAGGGATGAGTGCTGTTATTCCGTGCTTCCTTGCCTGCGTTGTCACACTCATGCTGTGTGTGCGGATGGCCACAGTAGTGGAGCTGAATACGGTTCAATGTGTGTTGCTCACGGGGACTGCGCAACACATGTTTTTTTTTGGTTTCCCCAAAGGAGGGGCGCATCGCCGTTGCATGATTCCCGCGCCACACCATTACTCTGCGACTGTGCGTGCCGCCGTCCGCTGCGCCACTGCAAGCCTTCGCCTTTGTGAGAAATGGGGAGCATGACTGCTGTGGCAGTGGTCGAATGCTCCCGAATTGGTGCTTTTGTTGATCCCACTTTGAGCACCGAGCAGCGAGGGGCTGCACACGCCCAGGAGGTGGGAGTGTCTGCTGCAACCGCACTTGCGATTCGCAGTTGGGGTGTGACATGTTTCTTTGGTATTCTTATTTTTGGTGACATGCGGGGCAGCGGTGTGTTGGCGAGTGCGGGCTGCTCGTGGCTGCCGGTGTTCTCTTTCCTGCTGTTCTCCCGCTCCACTCCTTTGCGTGCGACGGACCAAACGTTTTTACGGGCGTGTGGTGGGGCCGCTTTCTTGTTTGGAAAAAAAGCCTTTCGCAGGCATAATGAGATTGCCGTCCGTGCCACACGAGGCAGTGGGGTATTTCCTGGGATTTATTGGCGGGGTGGCACCGCACCCATGCCGTGTGGTTGATTTGTATTCCGCAATGCACGGTGAGGGGGATGTGCGGTGACAACCTACTCCAGTGAGGCGACACGAGCAGCACGGGGAACGGAACGGAGGAGTGGTGGCTGCGTGCTTCCAAGTGATATGTGAATGGCGAATGCAACAAGAAAGGCAACGTCACGGCTCTCTGTTGCCATGCACACCGCAGATATTTTCAATAAAGCATGCAAATTGCACTCCTTTCTGTTGTGCGGGATTACCGTGATGCATCGCTGTTGTGGTGTGTATGATTTGTGCTCCCTGCATGTGGCCGTTGCTGCACCGAATTTACTTTTTATTTTGTGTGTTTCTGTCAGTGACGATGTGCCCACGTCCTCTTGCCGAGTGTGTGCGGTGGTGGCGGTGCCACACGGGTTTGGGACTGTGGCGAGCGGTATGCGTGGACGAACTCTCCACGCCCACCACGTTGTTTTTGTTGTTTGCTCCTTCCAACACTGTGCTGGGTGGTTTGCACCCACTCGCCGTCGTTGTGGTGGTCCTCGTGCATGTGGTGACCATCGAATACTGTGCTGTCACACTGTGTGGGTGAGTCTCTTGTTGTGGCTTCGAGTCATGATTGTGCCCATTGTATTTCTTCTTCTCATTCCCCCTTTTTGTTTGGTGGCTATTGTTTAGATCTAACTCAAACCAACTAATAAAGCAAGGAGAAACAATGTCTGGAGGGCCCGAGGAAGGACTTTACGGCAATGTGGAGAGTCAATCGTCCAATGTCTCGCAGGGAGATAATCGGAGGAGAGCGAGGTCGGAATTTGAGAGTGACACAGATTACTCCTCTACGAATCGCAGAAGATTGGAGGAAATGCATCGACCGCAGTGGACCATGAGCAGCAGCGTGGAGGACATTCTGCTGGAGGGAAGCACACTCAAGAGCAACATGGGGCTGAATGAATTCCTTCGGAGCAACTTGGGCGGCATGGCGGCTGTTGATGAAGACCACAACGTGACGATGCAGGCGTTTGTGTTGAGACCCACGATGTTTATTAACGACAATGAAATATTGGACATAATAACGGCATCGCCGTCATACAGAGAGCTTGAAAGAGAGCTGGAAAGAGAGCTGGATGAGAGGAAAATACTATTGGAGGCTAATAATAAGCTTCATCACGAGGCTGTGTTCTCTCTCGAGCACTGGAGGGACTATGAAGGAAAGGATACGGTCACTTCTTTTGCAAGAGAAAACTAAACGGAGTTCTCACTCAGGTACAGAGA